GGTTAGGAAAATAGGTAGAGAAGGTGGTAATGATATAGCAAGAGAAAAGGAGTATGTACTGAGAGAACTGTTGATGAATTGCTTGTGTATAATGTGTATCTGAGAAACATCTGTTCTTATTCAGTCTGCTTCACTTCAATAAATAAGTTCTGTTTCTGTTCACAAGACAAGTGTTCTGACATACGTCATTTGTATTGTGGATTGAAGTAATCCACTGGTGGCAGCGAGAAGAGAACGCGACGCGAGCCTTTGTGAGGGAAAGACAAGCAGGGGCCACTAGGGCAAATGTCACAATTGTGACGTTCACCCGGTGGCTCCTGCTTGTTTCACCAAACACAGAGCTCACACAAGTATCCCAACACGCCCTGGCTAGAATGTGAAAGAAATCACATAAGCAGAAACAGCACAGATACAGAGTGACTCTCCATTATGATGTTTATTGGCTCATTGAAAGCAGCACATGGCAGATAATTGCCAAGTAGCATCAGATACCAGTCATTATTGGGAGGGGGGGGTGAGGGGATTGAGAAGCACCAAAAACAGCCCTGCTGCAACCACTCCCAAATCTCCACGCACCTTCCATCTTCATAGGAGCAAAAGAATGGTTTATCACTTGGCCATGTTGCATCATCCTTCCCCATGTTAGGCAAACCAGGTGGTAAGAAAAAATGACTCTGGAGAATCAGCGCATATGGGCATGCCAGGGTAGAGCACAGAAGAGTGGAGCGAGTGGAGAATTAGCACAGAACAGTGGTGAAAAAGAGATGGGGTTTGATTTAGGAGTAGAAGAGACTGGGAATATGACTGTCAAAAACAGGTGAAATCAGCACCAAGAACCTGATACCTGGATAAGGGAGGAACCCTGTTTTTCAAAATTTGTTACTGAAAAGGGATAAGATATAGGCAAGGCTGAAATGGGCATCAGATATTCTGCAGTAGAACTGTGTAATGTGCCCATGTCATCATGTAAGGCAACAACACAAGGAAGATCTACTACAGACCCTTGTCCTGTACAGGGTTGAGGACAGTGAACCCAGTTTGGGTACATAACCTTCTTTGCTCCCAACAGCAATTTAGGGATGTAAAGAAGGACCCTTGCCCTCCAGCTCTCTTCTGGGTTTAAAGTCTTCACGCGACTGCTGATTACAGTAACTTGCCATTGCTTTGACTCCACTGCATTGGCTTAACTAGCTGCTGGGTCTATTGCACCGCAGTTTTCTGACAGTTTGGCTGAAAAGTGCCTCTGACAAGCTGTATCTTTCTGTGTGTGTATTATCTTCCTAATAGCTATGTAAGTACAGGAATCATACATCTTAGAGGATCATTTGCAAGGAGGTATCCATGACTAGTGTAAAAAAAAGAAAATGGGCAGCTCTACAGTGCATTTGGCTGCCTGTTTGATCTTGTATTTATTTTTGACTAATTATGTTTGGTTTTATCATATACCTAGCTATTCACTCACTAGTTCCTGTTACATCTTAAACAAAGCCTGCTAGATCAAACCAAAGGCCTTCCAGTCCAGCATTCAGTTCACAGGGTGGCCAATCCACTGCCTACCGGGAGTCCACTAGCACCTTAAAAGTGCATTTGTAGTCCTGCCAATGAACTACATAACCCCATCAGCCTCAGCTAGCTGTGAGGAACACTGGGAATTGTAATCCAACAAAGAGGTAAAGAGCCACACAGTTACCCAAGCCTCCACTAGTTCATTAAGTCAAGGCAGGGGCAGCAAGCCCACATTTTGACTAACCACGCACTGTGTGCCTGGTGACTCAGCCTGGCTTCTAGTTGCTTCACTGGTTGCTGTGTGCCTGGTGACTCAGCCTGGCTTCTAGGTCCCAATCACTGGTTGCCTGAAGAAAATGCTCAAATGGGATGTTGGGACCTTGAGCTTCAAGAACAGGCTGCAGGCAGTCGGCATGGGCAGCAAATGACCCATATGGGAGTAAGAACATACCTAAGGAAAAAAAACTTATTTTTCACAGGAAGGTCTGACTGAATCAGAAGGGAGTAAGAACATACCTAAGGAAAAAAAATCTTATTTTTCACAGGAAGGTCTGACTGAACCAGAAGCTGCAAAAAAAACAGTATTATGGATGCAACCTGTTGACCTCTATTCTGAAAGGCCTGGAAGAATTAGGCAAACATTCTGGAGCATGCTTCTCAGCAGTTGCTTCCTCTTCTGGGATATGAAAGGAGACATGGGACAACAGTGCTCTTGCTTTGTAGGACAAGTCCCAGGGCTAAAGGGACAAGAATGCTGGCCTTCCCTGATCCAGCCACATGCCAAGATGTGAAAAGAAGGGACAAGAATGCTGGCCTTCCCTGATCTAGCCACATGGCAAGATGTGAAAAGAGTACAGTGGTGCCCCGCAAGACGATGTTAATTCGCTCAGCGAAAATCGCTGTCTCGTGAAAACATCATCTTGTGAAATGCGGTTCCCCATTGGAATGTACTGAAATCCATGTAATGCGTTCCAATGGGGACAAAGCATCATTTTGCAAAAATCGCCCATAGAGAAACCGTTCTGCGACACGCCAATCAGCTGTTAAAATCGCTGTCTTGTGAAAATCGGTCCTGAAAACACCCCTTTTGCAAGTCATGGACCTAGCTGTCAAAATCGTTGTCTTACGAAAGTCGGTCCCAGGAAAAAAAAACCCATCTTGCGAAGCACAGACCGAAACATCGTATAGCAAAAATCACCCATACGAAACACTGTTTTGCGAAGTGCTATAGCGATCACAAAAAATCATCATGCAGATTCGTCGTTTTGTGAGGTAATCGTCTAGGGATGATTTCCCCACCCCCATGAAAGCTGTGGTTGCTATGTGCTTCGCCAGAGGTAATCGTCTAGGGGGGCACCACTGTAAATGATTTCCCCACCCCCATGAAAAGCTGTGGTTGCTATGTGCTTCGCAAAGCTTCAGCAAAGAAGACATCTCTGAAGGGAAAGAAGATGGAGCATTAAGGGCAGAATGAGGGAAGGAAAAACAGAACTGGTGATGATGGGAAGGCAGAAGCAGAAAGACAGGATGTCAAAGGAGATAAAACTCTAAATGCAGGCACAACCACCGGAAATACAGATCTGAGAAAAAGGTGTCACACTGATAAGAGCTTAGCTTTAGTATCCACGAGAACCCACAGTTCCAGTAGAGGGATGTTGATAAGTAATAAATCAGTTTTTAGATGTATATACTTTACCTCTGTTTATTACATCATTTTTAAAAATTGTGTTCACTCAAAGTATATGAATCAAGGGTGAGCAACTTCTGATGGGGACCATTTTTGTCCTGTCCTGGAACTTGTAGGGCTGTGCTTCCTTACAACACTCCTGTTCCTTCCCCATTTATTTCTGTTGCCCATAAACAACAAATTGCACACACACACAGCCTCAAACTTATAGCGATACAATCTGCCATTGAAACGTCATTCCCTCTGGGCCTGTTTTAGGAACAGGAATAAACAAATGCTTAAGTAGTGGTTCTTAGTCTCTGGCCTGCTGCCCTATTTGCACATCAGCACCCAGAATTCCTGAACAGTATTTCTGAGGGATGAAGTCCAAAACGTAGATGACCTAAGGTTAAGGACCACCACTCTATAAATATTGCTTGATCATCTGCCTTTCTCACCAATGTAATATTCACCTGCATGCAGCATAGATGGTGATCTTGATCAACAAGAGCTGAACCAACCACAGTGTTATTCTACATCTCACAGAACTTTCCATCGATGGAAATAAGAAATGTTGGGTTTGTACAAACAGTTGAAGACATTAAAAGAATAAAGGAGAGGCAAGGGTTCAGCAAGGTTCAAAGTTTATCAGATGGGAAAAAGGTTTTCACATTAGAGGTGTATGAATTGCCTCTTTAAAAAAACAAAGATATCCTTTGAAAGGCAAAGCAGTGACTTCAAGGCTGCTATAGAAAGGACAGGACACGTCTGCCTAGGAGTGAAGTGAATAAATGTTCAGTGGGCCTTAGTTCTGAGCAAACATCTATAGGATCAAGTGGTAACATTTGTCACTTGGGAGTGTGCTGTGTGAAGAATCCATGGCACCCTGAAAGAAATCAATTCTTTAGGCAGCCACTCTTTTTTTAAAAAGTTTTTTTGGAAGATTCTCCTGCAAATTGTAAATTTGGTTTGGAAATCCCAAAAAAAGTATCTGTTTTGTGATCACCCATTTTCATTAGATCTGGGAAAACTTGTGGAATTTAATGAGGCTTAGCATTGCTATAGCTCTTTTGAGTGTTCAAAGCACTTCTCTCATTGTCATCCTCACAGCAAACCTGTAGGTTCATGGTCTCAGCCTGTGGTCCATCAGCAGCACAAGAGTCCAGGGATTGGCTTTAAAGGTCTGTGAACTGGGGACCAAAAATTAATTAATTGATTGATTTTTTTAAAAAATTAATTGTTTGCAAGTTGTGGAATATATGTGCCTTTTTTTCCCTGGGAAGGAGGGTTGTAACTTTCGTAATATTCTCAAAATGTTCCATGACCATCCTCAAATGGGGCTGTAAAGAAAATGACTTTTATTCTCTCTTATATTGTAAGGCTGGGATGGCCAATGAACCACCTAGTGATTGACAGTAGGGGCAGGATTTGAACTGAGAACTTGGGTGATCTATAGCCTCACAGTCCTAACCTTGGCGAAAGATCTTATCATAATGAGAGGTGTTCGTGTTCACTCTAAAGTGGTGACAGGTTGCAGCGATGAGCACACAGAATAAAACTGAGACCAAGCTTTTGGTCCTCTTTGGTGTTTCTAGATTGGTGTTGCCTAACGAAACTTGCCAGCTGCTGAGAGTCTGCTAGCTTGTTAGGTCCCTGAAGACCTAAGGACCTACCTGATCAGCATCACCCCAGTTTTAGACCCAAATGTACCTGACAAATATTTGTACCTGGTTGGGGCTGAGGCAGATCAAAGAAAGGCTACCTTTCAAGACAAGAAGGGTGCTGGAAGGATGGCAAGAGGCTATGTGGTAGAAAGAGGGAGGAAGAGGCAGTGGAAGAGGGGAGTGGGTTTAAGAAGGCATCCCCACTCCCCCAGCCCATACGTGAGGTTATTGCTGGGTTCACAACCAGGCTGCCCCAAAGAAGGCTAGAAGTGCACACTAAAGGAGAAGAATTTGCTTGGAAAGCCTGGCATACAGTGTGGAAAGGCTGTCAGAGGTAAGAGGTATCATCATCACCATCAGTAAGGCCAGTGTGGCTTTGTGAGGAAAACGGGGAATCGGCTGCTAGGAGTTCTTCTGTATGGTGATTAGCGAAGCGCCTGGCTCCACAGCACGTCGGCGGGGAGGGGGCCCCCAAGGGGGACGGATCTCACTTCTCTATTTCAGCCATTTGTTCCTTCCTGGATTCAGTCACCACCTGCAGGAAATTTAGGAGGGGGGAGTGGAAATAGCCAGCACACAAAAGTCAGAACCAAAGAGAAGGAGAGGGCAGGAGGCACGAGAAGGCAGCTGCAGTGTGGAGAAGGACTGGGCAGCTGTGGTCATCCAGATGTTTTTGTCCTATATCCCCCTTCAGCCTCAAGCCACCATAACGGACAATGAGGGATCCTGGGGAAAACATTGGAGGGCTATCTCTGCTGTGTGGGAAGTTGCCAAGAGGAAGGTGACCTCATGCCCAGAGACAGAAGGAGGGCCATGGGCTTTCTGGTGTTCTGTGCAAGGGGGCACACAGAGGCACTAGGGTTGGCATCAGTCACCAAAGAGGTGTTCATTAGAAAAGCAGGCTTCTAGCTGTTAAGGCTGCCAATAGTCCTTCATCTTAATTATGTATAGGAGAACCTATATCCATCCCTCTTATGCAAGGGTGGGCAAAGTGGGGCCACCAGCCGCTTCCTGCTCCCAGGGCCTTTTCCCCCCAGCCAGCCCCCAGCCCCATCAGACTCCCATGCCCTCCCCCATGATTCACCCCCAAACAATATTTTATAACAACGAGGTCTCCAGAAACAGTAATTCGCCATTTAAATAGGTCATAGGATCCCCTTCCACTAATATAAAAAACACTCATTAAAAAACACACAGAAGAGGAATTCTGGCCTCTTCCAGTTTCATTGAACTCACCCCCTGCCTTTTTTAATTTGATTGATTGATTGATTGATTGATTGATTGATTGATTGTTGTTGTTGTTGGTGGTGGTGGTGGTTAGAGATGGAATATTCATATTCATCTTCCTGCGAAATGAATACAAATATCACCACCACAGATGGCTGGGCTGATTGGACCCTCCCTTCAGAACCAGGCCATCTATTTACTGCTCACAGAGTGGCACGCGGCTGTCATCGTCTACACTGCGCCAATCATGGAAGTAGCCCCGACACAGGGCTTCCCGGCCTCCCTGCTCTGCTGACCCATCCAGCAAGGAGGTGCAATGATGAGTCTCCCCACTTAGCTGTCGCTGCCGGATGGGTCAGCAGCGTAGGGAGGTGGGGAAGCCCTAGTGGGGTTAGCTCCATGATTGGCGCGGCACGAATGACAATGGCCGCCTGCACCATGCCATGAACAGTACATCGACAGCCCGCTTCTGGGGGGAGGATCCAACTGGCCCAGCCACCTGTGGCGGCAATATTCGTATTCATCTCCCCCAAGGAGATGAATACGAATATCCCATCTCTATTGGTGGTCCAAGCAGATTCCAGTGGCAGACAACTGGCCCCTCCCTGCCAACTTGCCATGGTTGCCCATGCCTACTTACACATATTTTTCAGGGGGGGGGGAATGAAAACCGATAATGAAACAGTGAAATTTCAAAAACAAAACACTATAATAGACAGATACTGCCAATAAAATACTAAACTGAAAACCATAGAGCAAATGCCTGCCTTAACAAGGAAAATCTTCCTCATATGAAGACCAGTACAGGTTTGTGCAGAAACCCATAAAGGAGTTCTTAGACTGCAACTCCCAGAAACCCTTGCCAGCACAGCTAGTGGTGAAGGCTTCTGGGAACTGCAGTCCAAGAACACCTAAATTACCCAAGATTGGGAACCACTGCCCTAAAGATACCAGTTGGCAGTGGAAGGGACACTGGACATGATTTCCAGTAGCCAACAATGGGCTCCCTTACATAGTTCTTTGCTTCTCCCCCATGACTGACATAAGCACAAAAATATGTGAAAAATGAGTGAACATATCCACATTTGCAAAACTTGCACAGTTTCTTTGAAACCAGACCCAAGGCTATTTTGTTGATTACTTGGTGCTAATAGTTACTTTAAGGAGTAGAATGCATGCCAAGCATAAAACTGGTAAGCAATAAAAGTCAATCTAATTTCAGACTATACTGCAAGATAGGAGGTGGTGCTGAGCTATGAGCTACCTCTGCACAAAACCACACAATGCAGACCATAGCAGACGGCAGAGAACAGGGACAACAACATGGACTGCTGTTGTGAATCATGTTTTTTTAAAATCAGAAGCAAGTTATTTTATGCAGCTGCCAGGGGGTTGTTTATTTTAACGTGGATGATTATTTGATTTATTTTGGATTGTTTCAGCATATGTGACTGCCGCTGACAGTGTAAATTGTGTCTGTTGCCTCATGCTGGGTGCCTCTCTGAGCCATTCACAATGCTAGTATGATATACAGGGGGGAAAAGATCAGATGGCAAGCGTTCACTGTGGCCCCACACATGCACATGGAGACAGACAGATAGGTGCGCATGTGCACACACGCACAGAGAGGTGGTGGAGAAGGAGAAAGGGAGCTGTCAGCCAGGCTGGCCAGAGTGAAGACACACCAGTGAGTGTCAAAGAGAAACTGACAAGAGACATTTAAAGATCAGTGGCTTCTAGGCTTGTGAAGGAGGAAAGGCTTCCCGCACCACAACCTTTCTCTCTCTGCTGGCTCTTGTAAATTTCCACTCACTGGTGTCTCTTCCCACTCACCAGTCTGGCTGCTGAATCCCCCACTCCCTGTCCTTCTCCAAACCCCTCCCCCCTGTGTGTGTGTGTTGGGCTGCAGTGAAAGCTTGCAGTCTGATCTGAGTTTTAACCCCCTATCTGTCATAAAAGTACAATGCCAGATTGCATGATGCTAGATTTTTAAAAAATATATACAGTGGTGCCTCGCATTACGATGTTAATTCGTTCCAGCAAAATCGCTGTAGAACTAAAACATCGTAAAGCGAAATTTAAAAGCCCACAGAAATGCATTAAAACACGATTAATGCGTTCCTATGGGCTTGAAACTCACCGTCCAGCGAAGATCCTCCACAGCGTGGCCATTTTGCTGCCCGTGCAGTGAGGAATCCGTCCCAGAAAACAGCGGGCGGCCATTTTTTTACCCGGCGGCCATTTTGAGACCGCCGATCAGCTGTAGGAAAATCGTCGTTTTGCGAGAATCGGTTCCCGAAGCAGGGAACCGATCATCGCAAAGCGAAAAAAACCCATAGGAAACATCGTTTTGCGATCACTTTTGCAATCGCAAAAACTTCGTCTTTATGCGATTCCGTCATAAAACAGAGTGTTCGTCTTGCGAGGCACCACTGTATTAAAAATAACCCCACAGCAGCAGAGGTGGCGGCAAGTGGCTGTGAGAGGCAGCCAGCACGAGGGTGGGCAGGCACAGGACAAAGCCTCAAATGCAGTGATTGTAAAAGCCTGTGCAGCCCCCCTCTACCAATATGCAGCACACTTTAAAAACTGATTAAAAGTTTTCCCAAAAGGACAGACACACACACACACACACACACACACACAAACTGAGCCCCAAACCGCACGACTTTAAACAGATTTCAAAAACCCCAATCCCAATCCCAATTTATTTTCATAGTTTAGCCACACTCTTAGTCATACCTTGAGCAGACCTACTGGGATAGGGGGATATATATATGATCTTAAGTTAGTCATCACTGAAATCTTTCTGATTTTGGTAGGTCCCCCTCAAGGATGAGGAAGGCTGGATCCAGCCCAGAACCATGACACAAGCCTCTTCAAACCTCCCATTTTGTTCCACATGCAGAAGACATTTGTCCTCCCAAATCTTGTGGCCTGAAATTTGCACAGTCCATTAGCACTGGCCTTCCTGGTGGAGCGTGTGGGGGCTCTAAGCCAAAACACATGGAAAGCCAATGGTTTCCCCCACTCTTGCTGGAGATGTGGACATGCAGCAATTCCCATAACTCAAGATCACATTGACGCACTGAACCCAATCCACCCTACCTCACCTCACCCTTGCACCTACATCTCTCTTTCTCTTTCTCTCTCTCTCTCTCTGTGTGTGTGTGTGTGTGTGTGTGTATGGCATAGGTAACAATAAGCTCACCTCTCCATCACGGGTCTCAATGGTTTTGATCAGGACCGTCTTCCTGGTACTGGTATGAGTCTCTATGGCTGGCTCCGGCTCTGAAACTACATTTAGCAAGTTTTTAGGGACAAAGAGTTCCCCTCCCTGCAATCCAATTCCACCCATAACAAGGTCTCTGAGCTGATCTTGACAAGATCAGGAAAAACAGTAGAGGTTGAGGGGGACAGAGACAGAGGTAGAGCCTTTGTGCCCACTCCCAAGGGAAAGTAGAGGCAACAAAGGCTAAACAGGAGTTTAGCTATGTGTCTGTACAGTTCAGTAAGAAAGGGACCGGGAGGGGTCAGAAAAGCTTAACCATCAGCCAGTGTGTTGTCCGCAAGGTCAACCAAACTTCATCTCTGGCTGTGCTGGTACTGGTCAACAGGGAGCAAGAACTGAACATGGCAGGAACATATATGACTGGGTCCCCAGAAACATACGTAACCTCTCACCTATCTGCTAATGAAACAAACAGATCTTTGTCCCAGCTCTTCCAAGAAGCCCCCTTTCACGGGCAAAAGCTTGCCCATCTCACAGATGGTGCTCTAAACTTACCTTGTGTTTTGATGCTGAGAGAAGCCATGGATTGGACAGGCACTGAAATCCTGCAGGGAACACAGGGGAGTGAAGAGTATGATACATTCCCATAGCCAAGCCAAGCCGTAAACTTCCCTTCTAGACATTTTTCTTGTGTCCTACAAAGGCAGAGGTTTTCTCTCTCACTCCCAGAGAGGGACTGAACCCTGGACAGTTAAGGGGACTATCATTTATCACACAGAATCCATGGACATCTGTGAGTCAACCAGGGGCCCAGCAATGTTAAATTTAAATGTAGTTCAGTTTTGTTTCGTGTTTCCCCCTCGGTGTCACACCATGCTATTGTTGGGAGGAGGAAACTAGTATGCCTACTTCCATTTAGTTGTTTTGGAGTTCCGACAGAAAATAAAGCAACGTCCCTCACCTGCAGCTGTCATCTTAATTTCCAAAGGACACCTCTGGGCTTCTGGGGAACTCTTAGGAAATTATGAAGATAGAAAGTTGCACAGCATGTGTGCAGGTGGGTGTGAGAAAAGGAGAGGAACAGGGATGTGGGGGGGGAGGTGTATGTGTGTGAGAGTTCAGAAGGCATGAATTTTTGACAAAAAAGGGGATTCCAGCAGGGAAATGGGTTGAGAATAGTTAATCCTGGGAGATGAATGTGGGTACATTGATGCATACACGTGGGTATTTGGGGAATTGTTCTGGGTCATTGCAGGTTAAATGCCACTTTGAGGGGCACATGAGTTGCTAAAATAAATTTTACATTGTGCAAAACATGTGGTTTGCCTTCTGTGAAGTGGATACTTTGTTACGGTAGAAACATATGGATTCAAAGGTATGGTTTGAAGGGGGGGCTCAGAGTCCACCCCAGCCTTCTACTCAATTCTTTGGGCAAGTTGCTTCCTTCTGAGCTTTGTCACTTGGCCTTCCGTTGAACTGGTACTTTGTGTCTTGGTTGAATTGGGGCTTTGCCACAGCCACCCCCTTGAAGCAGCCATTTTATTGCTGTGCCTACAAAAGCCAGGCATTCCAAATGGCCGCACGAGGCCAAAAAGGTAAAGAGGCATCTGTGTCCACGGGTGACCCACCTGCTCTCCTCCCCCTCTAGCAGCTTGCGGTAAGTGGCAATCTCGATGTCCAGGGCCATCTTGACATTCAGCAGGTCCTGGTATTCCCGCAGGTGCCGCGCCATCTCCTCCTTCATGTGCTGGATCTCCTGCTCCAGCCGCGCCACGTTGTCCTGGTAAGAGCTCACTTCCGTCCCGTATTGTTCCTCCAGCTCCCTCATCTGCCTCAGCAAGGCTTCATTCTGGCAAGGCAAGCCGTACCAGGGGATTCAAAGTGTAGAAAACTGACCCAGGAACCTGACCTCTTGACCTCAGCCCCCAATCCCTGCTCCCAATGTGTAGGCAACTCAAAGGAGGGGGGGGTCTGCAGACCTCAAGATGACAAGAGGTCTGAGAGTGATCATGAAAGCAAATGTTCCCCTGCCCTGATCTCACCACTATACCACACTTGTCTTCCAGTAACTCGAATCATATCCACCACGAACACAGATATGCAATAAGCTGCCAATGCCAAACTAAAAGCTAGCTATATACCGTATTTTTCACACCATAAGACGCACTTTCCCCCACAAAACTGGGGGGTGGAAAGTCTGTGTGTCTTATGGAGCGAAAAATACGGGTAAGTGCCAAAATGTATATTATTCAAATAATTAAACTTATATGGCCTACAGTTTCCCCACAGTAGTAGAGGAGTGGCACAATTAAGAGAATATCCCTAAACAGAGTTTGGGATATCCTATTACAGGGCAGAAATATAAATACATTTATACCTTTTGTTACCCTAAATCCATGAAAAAAGACCCTGCAGGCAGTTCCTCGGGTTCAACCCTTGTGGAGCCTGTGCTCATCGAGAAAGGAAGGGGATCGAGCCAGGATATCCTATTACAGGGCAGAAATATAAATACATTTATACCTTTTGTTACCCTAAATCCATGAAAAAAGACCCTGCAGGCAGTTCCTCGGGTTCAACCCTTGCAGAGCCTGTGCTCATCGAGAAAGGAAGGGCCGCCTCCTGCCACTGGGGATTGAGCCGGTCCTCCCTATTCACGAGCTCTTAGCCAACCTAGGTGGACCATGGTGGCCACGGGTCAGGACCCCAAGCCAAGAGCTTCAGGGAAGGGGGCTGGAGGCTGAGCCTAGGGTGGCAGCCCCTACTCACGGTTCCTTTGAGCCCATCCACTTCGCAGGTCAGAGTCTGAATCTGGCGTCGAGATTCGTTCATCTCATGCTTGGCCTGGCGAAGGGCCTCGTGGTTCCGATTGGCTGCATCCGACAGGTCAGCAAACTGCAAGGAATTGTAAAGTGTTGAGTGTTGTAAGGTGTTCCCTTCTTGACAAGGGAAAGGCACCCTAAAAGCAAAACAGGTGGGGACCCTTCAGCTGTTGGTCTCCAACCAGTTGAGAGAGAGAAAGAAAGAGAGAGAGGCAATGTTGGCAATCATCACTTTTGGCTTGGCTAGCAAGGCCAACAACCAGTTGAGAGAGAGAGAGAGAGAGAGGCAATGTTGGCAACCATCACTTTTGGCTTGGCTAGCAAGGCCAGCCCAAAACGCTGGATTCCTGCAAACAGGGACAAAGGGACATAGAAAATATCCCAATTCTAGGACAGACCAGCCTGCTGTAGTCTCTGTATAACAGGTGGTGACTCTTTGGGGTCTCAACCAGGAGTTATTCCCATCATGGGCTGCTTAACAACAAGATGTCAGGTCCTGATCCTGGGACTTCCTAAATACAAAGCTCATGCTCTACCAGCAAACTATGGTTTGCATAAGATACCTACCAATTTATCATTCATGTATTCCCCATTCAAGTTGCTCAGGGCAACATGCATGGGGTTTTTCCATCAATCTGTCCACACAGCAGTTCTGGACAGCAGGTTAACCAGGAGGTTTCATGGCCAAGTAGAGGTCTGACCCTCGGTCTATGCATGACATTACCTAGGCTACCAGCAGATATATGCCCCTGGCCAGTCTTGCCCTAACCACACCCCCTTGTAGTCACACCCAGTTTAAGCACCTTGGATTTGTACCACTCTTCAGCCTCCTGCAGGTTCTTCACAGCGATGCTTTCATATTGGGTGCGGATGTCTCGCAGGGCAGCTGTCAGGTCTGGCTTAGCTTGCTCCACCTCCACCTGCACCTGCTGCTGGCTGTGTATGCTCACCTGCATGTCATTCATCTCCTGCAGATGTCAGGCACATATGGGGATGGTCAGATACATACAAGGCTGCATCAGTCATGCAAAAATAAAATGTGCCTATACAATGACAGTCATCCATGGCCAACTACAATGTGTGATGCTTTCTTACCCAGATCAACCCTGTCAACCTACGTTGCCAAACATCCCATGGCAGAAAAGAGATGCTGCTGTAATGTTATCATCCACCACTAGATGGCAAACAAGCAACATGGATTATGCAGGATTTTCAAGACATCATATGAATACTGGAAGTACCTATATAGGATACCCATATGCACACATGGTCTTCTCCAGTACCCTCACATTTAGTCTTATTGCTTCTTCTGCATAGACCACTAGTCTCCAGAGGCTGCCGCCATGATTCCAGAGCACATGCCATTGCTTTTTCTTTTTTTATATAAAAAATTAAACAAACATCCAGTCTACACAACATAAACCTAGAATACAATTGCATGCACATAAAACACCATTGCCACTTTCACCCTCAGGGCTGGTATTAACAGTTTTTTAAAAAAATTCATTCAGTCAATTTTCTCTCCAAAACATCATTGTTTCTTCCCTCGGTGTATGCCCCTTCCCTCTCCAAAATACATATTCCACGAATACACTCCATATTTTCTTAAAGTCATTATTTTTTGATAGGCCTCCTCTTATCTTCATATCACATGTCAATATATCATTAATTGCCATATCTCATAATTCTCTATACCATTCCTCTAAATTAAAATGGTTATCATCTTTCCAGTTTCTTGCAAAGATTAACCTTGCTGCCGTAACCATTATTACAATTAAATCCTTATTTTGTTTCAACACTTGATCTTTCTTAACCATGTTCAATAAAGCCATTGATGGGGACATTTGGGCATGTGCCATTGCTAACAGCAAACCATTCAGTTGAAGGAAAACATATAACTGTTGCTAAGCAAGAAAAGAAATGTCATTTTGATGTTTTTACAAGATCAAGAGAAAGCAGGAACAACCCTGATGAGCATGTCATCTTTGAAGACGACCCTGCAAATGCCAACCCAAGGGGATTTCTATACTGAGGAAAGGGGGAAGCTTTTCATCCCATTATGAATTTTTCCAGAGGTTACAATCTCAAGGAGACCCCACCTTAAAAATACTAACTCATAGGCCCATTTGATGAACTTCTGGGAATGGTCTCTCCCCTGCAGAAGTCAGGAGAGAGACCATTCTCAGCCTTGTGGAATCCACTCCTTTCATAGCTGGTTATCCCTCTCTGCTCTCACAGGAAAGGTATGAAGACACATGCATTCAGTCTGGTCTTCTGAACAATGTTGATGCTCATTGTTTTTTGTGATTATTTTAATGTTTTCATTGTTTCATTTCTTTTTATTGGGTTGGGTTTTTTGTTAGCTACTTATTTTGTGTGTGGAAAGGCAGGATAATGAAATGAAATAAATAAATGCTGCTTTCAGCCCAGAGGGCGTCACCCCCCCCTTATTTCCCCCACCTCCTCATGTAGTTTCTTGAGGAACTCAATTTCATCCATGAGGGACTCAATCTTGCGTTCCAGCTCCAGGCGTGAAAGGGTGGCGTCATCCACATCCTGCCATGTTGGAGAGGAGGAACAAAGAATCATCAGAGTCACCGGAAGTTGTCGGCCCTTTCCATTTTAACTGAAAATGAAGAGCAAAACTAGGGCAATCACACCAGACCCTCCCAGCCTGACCAACCAAGTGGGTGATGAGATGGAGCAAGCTTTCTGTTAAGAGAGATAAACGACATGTTTCCCCCCCCCAAAAAAAAATTGCATTCAAGAAATAGGCTTGAATGCTGGGACAGAAACAACACAGAAGAACAAATGTATGGGCGGGCAGCACTCATACTCATGTGGAAAAGATCAGAAAAAATTGTGAGAGTGTGCAAATACCAGCATACCAAGAATTTGCAAGAATACAAGCATGAATGTGCCTGCAGGTTTGAAGCAGCCAAACGTATTGCAGTCTTAGCTCTGCCTCACCTCAAGGCTTGGCTCACCTTGCGGAAAAGAACCAGGTTGTTCTCAGCATCTTCACGCTTGTGCATTTCCTCATCCAGCCTGCAGAGGGCAGAGAGCAGCAAAAGAGGTAGAAGCAGGACTTAAGACTGCATTTCTTTGCCAAGGAGAAGGCTGGTGGCATCTTAAAAGGTACCAAATTTGCCATCATCTGCTCTGCCTGACCACAGACTCGAACTCCAGTCATTCTCTGTCTCACCTCACGCATCCCAATTCTCTATTTCTATTTTGGAAATAGGACTTCTTTCCAATCCTGCTCTCTGGGCTCTGCTTTCAGGGGCCAAGTTGGATATGCCAGACAGCTTCTGGTCTCAAAAGCCAAGGGATTTTAGGAGCTGTCATCCTAACTAGTAACATTTACATCCATCAGACATCTCATGCTTACCTAACATTGATTTACTGTATGCAAAACACTATATACTTATATAAAATGGCAGTCCTGGTCACAAAGCCTACTTGTGTCAGATAATTATTTTTTAAAAATTAAATGCAATGTGTTACAAAATCAATAATACAATTACAGTATACCACAAATAACAAGATTGCATTTTATTTACTTGTTCATTTGACAAGTTATTACATTTTAACTAAAGTTAGAAAAAGCTAAGGGAAAACTGAACATTCATCAGCAGTGCCTCACATGCTATCCATTTGCCATAGCATCTTTTTTTCTCCCTAAATATGAATTCTAAAAAAACACAAATTGAATGGAACTTGTTCCGTCTTGTGGGAAGGTAACAGCGTTCCGTGTCTAGTCGCGCTGGCCACATGACCATGGAAACTTTCTTCGAACAAACGCTGTCTCTACGGCTTGGAAATGGGGATGAGCACCGCACCCTAGAGTCGGACACGACTGGACTAAATGCCAAGGGGTACCTTTACCTTTACTTATGCTCGTTATAGCTGATGGGAGTTGCAGTTGAAACTTCCTGGGGAAGCACAAGTTCCCCCTCCCTGTGGTAAGCGATACCAGGAAAACATTATTTATTCATGCAGTGAAGAACTGTACTGTAGACATTTGGTTATATAAAAAAAGCTGCAAGTCAAGTGAAATTAATATAATTCCAGAAACATTGTACAGACTTGAGTGGTGTGAAAAACCTTTTCCTCTTTTATGCTTTTAAAAGGTTGATCCCAACCAGAAAACAGAAGCTTTTGCTCCAACTCAAACTGTGTCAGTGAGAGCTGCTCTCTAGCCACACCCTCCTCTTCTGAGGCCTCCCCCCAACTTCTAAAGCTGCCTCAAAAGATTAAAGACCCTCATAGAAAGATGGCAGGCAGCTTCACTGCTTGGTGTGTCTATGAACAGGGCTGGAGTGGGGACACACACCCCCACCTCTTTTTCAGGCTTTTGATCCCTCGGCTTCTCAGTCCCCTCCTCTTCCTTCTGCTCCTGCTCCTCCATCTGCCACAGTGGTGAGCTATGCCAGGATGCAGAAACGCCAGCCCCGCCCCACTGTGCCTTGGGGAATGCAGTCATGGCTCCTCTCTCTGGTGGTTTCCTTCCCTTCGGTCCCCATCCCTTTCCATCCGCAGGGTTGTAGTTTGAGAGATCAGCACGAGAGCCCAACAGGACCCTCAATGCACCACACGCTCCCTTTAAGAAGTGGCTGCAGGCACCCCACCCACAGGGGTCTCTGCTGCACGGCACGCTTTTGCTGACGCACGGCGGGCCACTCCCATGGGTCACCATGCCTACCTTCCAGCGCTCTTCGGCAGTGCCCTAGTTACGCCCATGGTCCATCCATGTCCAAGCACCAACTGAAGTAAGCAACCCTATTCTCTCTCTCTCCCTCTGCCCCACCCAGACATCCTATGGGGGCCACAAAGCAGGAGGAGAAGGGTGCAGATCAGAGGTAGGGAACCTCAGGCCCTGGGGTTGGATCTGGCCCTCCCAGGATCCTTGGGTGTCCACACCCCTTCCCCAGGCCAGCATCATTTCTTTCTCAGGTTTTGTTATTTGCCCCAACTAGGAACCTGACATGCCTCTTGCACCTTCATCATCATCCATTGGTATTTAGGGTCCTCCTCTTTCCACTTTCCATGCTCTTCCTCCATGGCAAGGTGGCCCCCCTCCAACAACCTCACCTGAACTGAGACTGGCCTTTCAGGTGAAAGAAGTACTTTGGTGCAAACGATGCTGGACGCCTGCCACACCCTGCCGCCCTTGGCTCTGCCTGTTCCTCCCAAGCCCTGTTTACGACAGCCACACCCCACAGAATCAAGCCACACCCTTTCCTTCCTTCCTTCCTTCCTTCCTTCCTTCCTTCTGGATGCCCAGGATGACTTGCTGGCTATCTGGACCATCCCTGTCACACCATTCCAGCAGGTCTCATGCCACCTCAGTGGAGCCACCACCCCTTTTCTACTTTTTTGGCTCCCGTCAAGGACTACCCCATAAGCTATATAATTTTTTTTTTGATCATATAGACCCTCCAGGGATCTCCCCCATCCCTTTGAACCACAATATCTCTTTTTATGTGTATAAAACCCGGACTTTCCCAAGAGTGCTGGGATGCAGGACTCTCAAGAGAGCTTGCCACATATTTTTTTCCTAACTCCTGATCAACATTGTCTACCCACAGCGACAACAGAACCCAAGAAACTCTAGTCTTCAATCTACGGAAAAGGTTCTCTAGATGACAGCTGCATCCTCCTTAAACCATCACTCTGCTTCCAAATCCGAGGGACGACAGTCAGAGCAAGGGAGGCACATCTTCCCATCATTTCAGGGCCAGCCCACAATTCCTGTCCTCAGACTGCCCCTGGCCAGATTTCAGGTTACAGGTCTTTATGTCCCAATGCATGTGGCTATGCAGTAGAAAACTGTGACTATTTACTCAGGAGGAGGTCCCACTTTATTCAGTGGGGCTTTCTCCTGCAGCACACACTGCAAGTATGCAAAGGACTGCAGCTGTCGCCATTGCTGCATTACAGACCCTTCCTCAGCATAGAATATACCGCCCCTCTGGACTCCCTGGGATGGATATACAGCACATGCAGGATAACTCCGCTTGGGATTTCTGTTACTGGAAAGTTACTGTTTCATTGGTCTGTCTTCTAGCACTGGGAATAAACCTTGATTCCCAGACCAATGCAGCACAAAGACATTAGATTCCTCCATACAGTATATGAAACTAGAAGGCAAGGGGGGGCAGAGGGGGGTAAACTCTTTTGCATCATACTGAGATTTGGTCTCTATACCAAGAGCAAGAGAAGGAATTACACAGAATTAGTTTGCTCCTTTTTTTAAAACTAATCTTTTTATATAGTGTACTGTTTCGTTTTCTTTATATTTTCATTTATGGCATGCTTGTTTCACAGGGAAGCTGGAAATGAAGGAAACCAAAAGGAGAGCCAGAAGATCATACAACTCACTCCATCTAACTGGCGGCGGGGTGAGGTTAGCCTAGCAGAACCGTCCTGCTGCCTCCAAATGCTAAATCTCCCCACTACTGTTCCTAGTCCAGCTTCCTTTAGTCCACCCATCACTAGGCTGCCTCGCCCCTTCCAAGGGTCTGCTGACTCTTGGCTGTCATCAGAGATAGTTGGGGGGGCGGAGGAGAGAGCAAGAGAGAATCCACTGCCAGCACTCAAGGACCGCAATAACCCCCCCCTGTCTGGAAAAAAATCCGGGCATCCCGACTCTCAGCACCAGACAAACCTCACCCTTTAGAGGTTCGTGTTTGGACAGCGGTTTGTTTCGAAACGGACACGTGCCAGAACTCCAGGCTAGTGAGGAGACTCTTCTCCCTGCTCCCCAGCGGAGAAGGCTAGTTAAGGCTCCTGGAAGATGAACAGGAAAAGGCGCTCTGTGTATGTTCAGGAGCATCTATTCACTTTCTTGATGGAACGCGCTTTGGCCCTCAAACAAGGTACTACCGGGGGGTGGGGGTGGGAGCGGCCAGATTGAGCCTTGATCGGTGCAGATAGTGTTCTCTCTCTCGGCCTCACTCCATCCCCTCGTTCCCCTCTCAGCGAGGCAGAGGGAGAGCCCATGGCTCCAGGGGCTCCTCGCCTCCGCAGGAGCCCGACCCCCCCTTGCCGTCGGCCGGCTAGCTAGAGGCCCTCAGGCGGCAGAGCTCGGGGGGGGGTGTCCCGGCCGGCCCTGTCCCCTCCCCTCGCCTCCCGCTCCCGCTCCCCCGGGGCGGCCCACCTCTGCTTGAGGGCGGCCAGGTCCTCGGCCATGTTGTCCCTCTCGACCTGGAGGCGGTCGCGGTCCTTGCCCAGGGCGTCCACCTGCCGGCGGAGCTCGCGCAGCTCGTCCTGGAAGAGGTCGGCGGCGCGCGGGGGCTCCTTGGCGCGCGCCCGGCCCAGCTCGGCCACCAGGGCGGCGTTCTGGGTCTCCAAGTAGCGCACTTTCTCGATGAAGCTGGCGAAGCGGTCGTTGAGCTCCTGCAGCTCCTGCTTCTCGTTGCTCCGCGTGGCCAGGAACTCCTGGTTCAGCGCCTCGGCCACCGAGAAGTCCAGCTTCTCGGCCCCGTAGGAAGCGTAGCGCGGCGCCGCCGCTGAGGGGGTGCTCGAGCGCAGGTACAAGGCGCCGCCGCCGCTGCCCCGGTAGGAGCGCAGGGAGGCGCCCGGCGACGGCGTGCTCAGCAGCCGCGTGGCGCCGGCCGAGGAGGCCGAGGCGAAGCGCGACGACGAGGAGGAGTACGACACCGGCGACAGCGTGGGCGGCGGCCCGAAGGCGCGGCGGTACGAGGTGGCGCGGAGGTGGCTCATGATGAAGGGCCGAAGGGCGAGCAAGAAGCGGACCGGCGGCGGCCTGGCGCTCCCCGAGCAGGTCTGAGAAGTTCCCGCTGGGGATGAAGAGGAGGAAGAAGAAGGCGCCGGTTGCAGGGATGCTGCTTTATAGGCGGCCAAGTCGTGAGCGGGAGGGAGGAAAGGCCGGGCGAGGGGAGCGAGGGGCCCGCTGGCTCCACCTCTCTTGGCAGCGGCCCAGAGCCCCGCATTGCAGCCCCGTCGCGCGGCGAGAGGAGCCACCTACCCGAGCCGGCGCGCCCTGCAAAGATGCTCCGGGACTCCCCCCCCCCGTGTCGCCCCGCGCCCTGGGTGGCCCAGAAGTTTGGCTGAATCCCGCCACGGGGGCTTCTCTCCCCCCCCCCCCAGGACGGCAGCCTTCAGTTCTGGGCTGGAGTGTCAGGTGGATGACAGTTCCCCGGGAAAGAAGCAGAAGTTACGTAATTCGGGGAGAGGGGGAGCGGGGGTAGAAGGGAGCGCTCTTTTCTTTTGATGGTGGAGCAGGAGTCACGATTCGCGCCCTCGGGCTTTGGCCATGAAATAGAACCGTAATGGGGAGGTTCAGCAGGTTAAACATTTGGAGACAGCAAGACAGTTCTGCTCGGCTAACCTTTATCTGAAGAATGAAAAGAGCACCAAACGTGATGATGATATCCTTTTGCCTTAGGAAGCAAAAGGATTTTCTGCTAAGTCCTGAAGGGAGAGTTCTTTAATTGTTTAGACTGCGACATTTACCCCACGCTGTTTATGGTTATTTACCAGGAAGAAACAGATGTTGTTTAATTTAATCATTTCCATTAGGCAGGAAGTACAATAGTTCTTATATGGCCATTTTCGTTTTAGCAATTTTCC